CCCCAAACACCACTTGTCCTGGCAGGTCACTGGGCATTTTTCAGTGTGTAGCATGTAACGGCTATAATCTACTGCTGCATACTCGAAAGCATGAGTAGATAGTGAAGTCTTGGGTTACTCTTTTCAACTGCTTCACATGAAACTCTTATCTATTACTTCACATCTAACTTGTATCTACTGCTTCACATCCAACTTTTATCTACTGCAGTGGTTCTCAACCTTTCTAGTGCCGCGACCCTTTAATAAAGTTTCTCGTTTCGTGGCGACCCCCAGCCACTAATTATTTTCGTTGCTACTTCATAGCTGTAAGGATATGTGTTTTCAGATGGTCTTAGGCGACCCCTGGAAAAGGGTCCCGCGATCCCCCAAGGGGTCGCAACCCACAGGTGGAGAACCGCTGATCTACTGCTTTACATCCAACTCTAATCTATTGCTTTCACTCTAATCTATTGCTTCACATCCAACTCTAATCTATTGCTTTCACTCTAATCTATTGCTTTACATCCAACTCTAATCTATTGCTTCACATCCAACTCTAATCTATTGCTTTCACTCTAATCTATTGTTTCACATCCAACTCTAATCTATTGCTTTCACTCTAATCTATTGCTTCACATCCAACTCTAATCTATTGCTTCACATCCAACTCTAATCTATTGCTTCACATCCAACTCTAATCTATTGCTTTCACTCTAATCTATTGCTTCACATCCAACTCTAATCTATTGCTTCACATCCAACTCTAATCTATTGCTTTCACTCTAATCTATTGCTTCACATTCAACTCTAATCTATTGCTTTCACTCTAATCTATTGCTTCACATCCAACTCTAATCTATTGCTTCACATCCAACTCTAATCTATTGCTTCACATTAAATTCTAATCTATTGCTTCACATTAAATTCTAATCTGTTGCTTCACGCCCAACTCTAAATATTGTTCACACCTAAATCAAAAAGAGGATAATTAGTTAAAATCTCGTAGTTCATTGATACCTTAGTTCAGTGGTTCTCAACCTTTCTAATGCCGCGACCCTTTAATACATTTCCACATGTTGTGGCGACCCCCCAATGAAAATAATACTTTATAATTGTGGAGTATATTTGTTTTCGGATGGTCTTAGGCGACCCCTATGAAAGGATCGTGCGACCCACAGGTTGAGAACCGCTGCCTTAGTTGATGCATGTGGACGAACATTTAGGTCAGAGGTCAACTCTAAAAGTTTTAAAACTAATGATATCAAGTTTGTGAACAAACCGTTAGGTCAGAGGTCAACATTAAATTAATTGGCGTGTCAAACTAAATGACGTCACCTTTGTTTATTTGCTCTTCAGTTGACGAGATGATTGCAGAGGTGGACATTGATGGTGATGGTAGAATTGATTTTGAAGGTATTGTAATTGTATTGTGTAATTTTGGTGTCTTGTATGGTGTTCAGTTTGTCTAGTATGGTGTTCAGTTTGTCTAGTATGGTGTTCAGTTTGTCTAGTATGGTGTTCAGATTGTCTAGTATGGTGTTCAGTTTGTCTAGTATGGTGTTCAGTTTGTCTAGTATGGTGTTCAGATTGTCTAGTATGGTGTTCAGTTTGTCTAGAATGATGTTCAGTTTGTCTAGTATGGTGTTCAGATTGTCTAGTATGGTGTTCAGTTTGTCTAGTATGTGTTCAGTTTGTCTAGTATGGTGTTCAGATTGTCTAGTATGGTGTTCAGTTTGTCTAGTATGGTGTTCAGTTTGTCTAGTATGGTGTTCAGATTGTCTAGTATGGTGTTCAGTTTGTCTAGAATGATGTTCAGTTTGTCTAGTATGGTGTTCAGATTGTCTAGTATGGTGTTCAGTTTGTCTAGTATGTGTTCAGTTTGTCTAGTATGGTGTTCAGATTGTCTAGTATGGTGTTCAGTTTGTCTAGTATGGTGTTCAGTTTGTCTAGTATGGTGTTCAGATTGTCTAGTATGGTGTTCAGTTTGTCTAGAATGATGTTCAGTTTGTCTAGTATGGTGTTCAGATTGTCTAGTATGGTGTTCAGATTGTCTAGTATGGTGTTCAGTTTGACTAGTCTGGTGTTCAGTTTGTCTAGTATGGTGTTCAGTTTGACTAGTATGGTGTTCAGTTTGTCTAGTATGGTGTTCAGATTGTCTAGTATGGTGTTCAGATTGTCTAGTATGGTGTTCAGTTTGACTAGTATGGTGTTCAGTTTATCTAGTATGGTGTTCAGTTTGTCTAGTATGGTGTTCAGATTGTCTAGTATGGTGTTCAGATTGTCTAGTATGGTGTTCAGTTTGTCTAGTATGGTGTTCAGTTTGACTAGTCTGGTGTTCAGTTTGTCATTCACCTTATCCAAAATACGTCACAATATACCTAGCATTCAATAGGAACATCGACCCAAATACTCTCCAAAACACGCAATCACAATATAAAAACAAGTCCTTAACATTTTTATAATACATGAGGTCCTCTGTTATGTTCGTAGGTATTGGCCCCTAAAACAATGGGTCACTTGTACACTTTTGACTTGTACAAAATGTGTCTAACTTATTTTTGAGTAACTCAGGTGAGAATATTATATTTTTTCCCCCTCAGAGTTTATCACCTGTATGAAGAGTGATGATGAAGATGATGAGGATTCTTATGATGAACGAAGTGAAGGAGAAGACGAGGATGAGGATGGGAAAGAAGATAATAGCAATCTATAGAAATTTCAGCTATTGGAAAATAATACGACATACTGTAATATAATTCCTTTTTTTTCTCTTATCTCAATTTAAAAAGTCCATTTCCTTTTTCTTTCCAATATTTAAAAACAATTCTGAGAATTTGTCATGTCATTATTTTATTAAAAATATAATGGGCGGTCTAATGCCATCACGTTATTTCCATGAATCTGTGATCATATTACAGATGGAATCAATTCCAAGAAAATTATAGGCTATTTATAGTTAAGATTCAAACCATTGACTTTTATTTTGATACTGGGACTGGGATGCTCCCACATCGCTCAATGGTCGCGAGTGGCTTTACTAATGAAAGTAGTGAGACTGGGTCATTTGGGACTAAATGTAGCTGCAGGTCATTTTTGGATTGACATTTGATTGCAGGTCATTTGGGACTATAACATATGTAACTGCATGTCACTTTGGATTGACATGTGATGGCAGGTAATTTGGACTCCAGGTCATTGGAGATCAACTTGTGGCTGTAGGTCACTGTGATTCAACATCGTGAATGAAGTTTAAATTTAATTTTTTTGTCCTGTCGACAAAGTCCCACCCCCATTCAAAATAGCTTTCACTAATAACTTAAGGAATCTATTTTTATCTCACTGTACTAACAATTTGAACCAAACTTTGACCTTTTTTTATAATTATATTCTGGTATTCCTGGACGTGTGGATAAATTAGTTTTATTATGTCAACTTTCTGCTGAATCCTGTTTGATTAATACAAAAGGGACTCAGATTTAAATTGCTTTCAAACCTTTCACTACATTTTGCTCATTCACATTTTGTCAGAATTGCATTTTAATTTCTTCTTTAAAAAAAAAAAAAAAAAAAAAAAAAAAAAAAAAAAAAAAAAAAATTTTTTTTTTTTTTTTTTTTTTTTTTTTTTTTTTTTTTTTTTTTTTTTTTTTTTTTTTTATTCATTTAGTCTTACTTATAACAAGTTTCAATCTGATAATGTCAAATTATGTTCCCTAGATCAACGTTCCCCATATGGTGGTCCACGGACTGGTGCCATTCCTCGAGAAATACTATGCTGATCCGCACATTAGTCAAGACACAGGGGGGAGTTACATGTCTGTCTCGTTTCAAAACTTCAAAAATCAAGATTGTCTTTAGCCTACAAATATCCCAAGTTGTACACACCAAGAGGAGCATAGGATGTTGACACTATATGCCAGATACTAATTTTGAGAAATTGTTAAAACCTATCAAATTAAAAAATCACTCAAAATCAAGGCCAAACCAATTAAATTTTTAAAAAAATATTTGGCATTAAAAGATCATGCCTAAACTGGCAACCCCAATGTTTCTATGGACAAAATGTCAGAAAACACAACAGTTGGATAAGGCGACTGAATCCACACGACTGAAGTGGAAGGCAATAGTGTGCCATACTTTCAGACACCTCTGATGTCCAAAAATGTTTTTGCAAGTTTGGATCACTTATTTTTTCGCAACACACTTGCACCCCCCAAAACTTGTCCACTGGTCTGCCGAACTTAAAAGCTTGGTAAATGCTGCCATAGGTAAAAGAACACAGGTTACGAAATAAATCCCTTTGTTATTGTTGTAACCTGTTGTAATAGTTTACATAATAGTTTACATAAGAAGCCCAGTTGACAAAGAGAATATCTTATTAATCTATCCCTATTACCATATCACAGATTAAACTTGTCATGGGACACAACTCTTGCATATGAAATGTCCTCCCGTTTGCCAGCTGCTCTCGTAGACCGGGTCACATGTTGGAATAATTTGTCTCATTGAATAGTATAATCTTAATTCATTTCCCTAACACATGTTGTGTACCAGGGCAGTCCTGGAATCCTCCCACATCGACTGCGAACAGATTCTCTTTGTCTTAATGCGTTTCATGCACAATTGGTTCACTGTAGGCTGAAGTTCTACTACCACGAAATCTGGGAGGTGTCTGGGCAGTTTAAGTTAACTAACTACTGATAGTTTAGCCAATTAAAGGACATTACACTTGGTAGTTGCCCCCAGAGAGAACAACACCATCAATATCCCTGGAAGTTTCGCCGTCTCAATCTATTAAATGTAACTAGGGTATTTTCAAGTACATATTCTTTTACATTTTTATACAGATTTGTGTCTATTTTGTTATCCTATCTCAGCAATATTAACATTACACCTGTGAGTTTAAGTCACATTCAATAAATAGTTTGAAATCTGCTTTTCTGGTTGTTTTTTTTGTTTCTCTGTTCCACATGAATGACTTTTAATTTTGACTTTTAATTTCTAACACTGTACAAAAAAATCAAGTCAGAGGAAAATGTTTATTCTGTTTTAATTCTTGTTCAGGTATTTGTGTATCCATTTGATGCCAGTGATCCAGTGATAATGCTCAGAGCTATAGTGAACAGCTCCATGACATATTTAACATAGTTTTTAAAAAATGTATGGTACATAATATAAAAAGGTAAAAAATGGAAAAGTTGATTCACTCATGAAAACATTAACATATTTATTTGCATGTGGCGACATGCCAAAAAAAAAAAATACATTAACAAAAGTATGTCATCCTACAGAAAAGAAAATGTCAAGTTTCCCCAGTGAGTATCCTTCTGTATCATTTAGAAGAACAAGTTTGGGGAGCTTAACTTTTGGCAGTGACAATTTTTAAATAAAAGCACCAAAAAATGTGATGGGAAAAAATGATATTCATCTTTTTATAAAGAAATCTGCCAAGTGTTAAAGAGGGAAACCTGAAGTAAGACAATACAACAAAGGGAACGTTTTTTGGCAAAAAAGCCTCAGACAGCAAAAATAGTTCAAGACAGAGACAACCACCCTAAGTTTGTTGTATAGATAGGAAATGGTGGACATATTCAATTGTGGTAATGACCCATGAAATCATATCGAAGGTTTTTTAGCTTAGTGGTCCACTTTCTTGTATTGTCCCTCTTCAGGTTTTCCTCTACCCTATGTGTATTTTTAACTGGTACAACATGAACGCAGTCCTCCCTAGATTTCTCGTTTGTCTTTTTAAAAGGAAAAACCAACGAGGTGGGATGAGTCTGTAATAAGTGTGATAAGTAAAAACTCTTTTATAAGTGATAAAAACTTTTTTTGAGAAACGACAACATTTCAAATTCATGTTTTGTTCTCTGTATACTCCATATGTATCCTATTAGACAAGTTAAACAAGTTCAACGAACCTGTGAACTTCAAGCAGTTCTACAAAAATATGAGCCATGCAGATGTTGAGATATATATTTACTGTATACAACTTAACATCCTTGGAGAGTTGACTACAACTTTGGCTTGCCGTCAGCTGTGAACAAACTTTCATCTGGGTCGGTCAGCACCTGTGGTCCCGGACCCACCTATTATTATAAATAAAAAAATTTGTTACGTCGGCACTGTTTTGGTTTACTTCATCAGGTAATGGAGAGATCCAGGAAATACACAAGCATGACCAGGTAGGTGCTGATGTGTGCAACCCAGGACGAGCAAGAGGTGGGTGGTGGGGGGGGGGGGGGGGGAGAGCACAAGCAAACCGAAAGAAAAAGGATTTTGTATGTGGAGCATCTGGTGTGATTGAAACAGACATAGAAGTGTGGTAAAATCCTTCATGGCAATCTCACGTAATGAATTTGATTGATTGATTGAATACTTAAATAGCACTAAGTATCCATGCTATTTTAGTTGGCTCACTGCGCTCTCAGTGATGGCATCCGGGGCGTCGCAGGGGTTGTCAGAAATTCATTGTTTCGACGTTTGCAATGAATTTCTAGGTTATTGTTACTTTTACAGCACAACCAGTCTGTGAGCCCTCAAACACTCAAGGGCCCAAAGAAGTGTTGTGACAGCTCTGATTACAGATTAAAAGATTGAGCTCGCATGTGCCTTGGTTGAAGGTTAATACTAATATGACAAAGTTATACAGCTAAATCAACTTTAGACCGTATATTACACAAAGTTATACAGCTAAATCAACTTTAGACCGTATATTACACAAAGTTATACAGCTAAATCAACTTTAGACCGTATATTACAATGTATAATGCGAACCATGTACAATGCAAACCCTAACTTTTTCTTTTTTAAAAATTTCCTAAATGGTCATGTTGGTGTACAATGCAATCTGTTCATCTTGTTCCACAACATGTCCTTTTACCCCGGGAATATTAAATACAAGGTTAAAAAATAGTAAACTTTGTCAACACGGAAAATATTTATTTTGCTGGATTTAAATTCCATACAATCAGGATTACTAGAGCTAGCATAATAAAGAGAGGAATTATTTGTAATTTCATCTAAATTCATCATCTAAGTCCATTTTTGATGAAATTGCCATTGATTGATGTAAAAATTCAAAATATGATGAAAATCTGAGTTTGGGGTAGCTATGTTCATTTAAAAGTTCTAATTTATCCATTTAGGAAAGAAGTAAACATTTTAGAATGCAGATGAGCTGAAGGGGAGAGCATTCATTAAATTTTTCTTGTTGTGTTTAAATATCAAGTGTTGAGAAAATTGCACTCCTATGTACTTAAAAATTATGCAAATTCCTAAATTTAACAAGCCTGAAATAACTATCATGGAAAATTTTTAATAAGACAAATCTTTATTTTACTTGCTTTGAAAACCCCAGACAATAACCTATAATTAGCCTCACCTTAGTGTGAATGATATATTTGATAGCACCTGGATTCTGTTGCAAACTTATTTTTGAGACATCTTTCTGAAAAGAAAATATAAAAATACATTTGGTCAGCCCTATCAAAGAACATTGGATGTGTTTAATGTGTTTAACGTAAAGACTATGGTTGTCCTTTCACTCACAGGTTGTCATGGCGGGATACCTTTCAATTTTATAAGGTGATGTCAACATCCCCCAGAATCAAATAACAGAGTTGTGCCATTTGAACACCACTGAGATGTGCTGCTGCATTTACCTGAACTTTTACTGCATATTGGAATTTCTGGGAGTGATGAACAATGTTCATGGTGAATAGTAAAGGGAATTAGATTATACGAGGCTTAAGACAAGGAGACTCACTGTCTTGTATTCTATTTAACCCAGTGTTTCCCAACCTTTTTTGTGCCATGCCCCACCAAAGCCTTTCTAAAATTCGTATGCCCCCTCTCCCCTCCAATGGATCATATACATAATTGTTAATATTTAAAAAAAAAAGGGTTTTTCACTGAAGAAACTTAAATGATTTTTACAAAATTTTTAATGAACGCCCATTTTAAATTGAGACTTCAACGATTCTCCTTTTAAAATACAAGTTAAATCATAGTAGAAGATTTGTTTTCAAATTCTATACAGCTCATTTTTCAAATTGCCCCCCCCCCCTGTGGGGCTTCGGCCCTACGTTGGGAAACAGGGATTTAACCTAACATTAGAGAGAGTTTATAAGAAGCATACATATTGACACACGAGAAACAACAACAGGATACTTGAGGGAAACCCAAGACCCACAACCAATAGACACTCTCTATACCAACCCCTTCAGTATCTTGCATATGCTGATGCACTGTTAGGGAAAAGTAGTAAAGATCTATCAAAAGCTTTTATTAGAACATGCATCACTACAAGTAGGACTCGAAGTTAACCAAAAAACAAAATACATGATTATGTAAAGAGGAGAACAGACAGATGAAACCATTAAAATTAGAAACCACACTTTTGAAAAAGTAAATCAATTGTAATCAAACTAACTGTAACATACGATAACAAAATCAGCAGAAATACTATTAAACACATGGGAGAGAAAATTTCTCTGGAAAATATTTGGACCAACAAAGGATGGAAAAAAGGGCAGGCTAAGCTGGGCAGGACACTTAGAAAGAATGTCTAATGACAAAGGAGTGAAGAGGTTGCACCACATAAACCCCAGAGGAAAACGGCTCAAACGTAGACCTAGGCTTAGATGGAGGGATGTGGGAAAAAATATACAGCAGCTGGGAATTCAAGCATGAAAAAGAAAAGCATCAGTTAGTCTGAGTGGAAGGATATGGTGAGGCAGGCCAAATCCTTACATGGGATGTAGCGTCACAGGGATCGATGGATTGGATGACATACAACATGTGATATACAAATAGCTACAGCACTCAGGGATATGTATAGGAGAGACAGGCCAATGACATACAACAATATTTACTCCAAAGACATACAACAAACGTACACCTAAGACAAACAACAAACTTACAATTAAGACATGAAACAACTTACACATAAGACATACACCAAGCTCACTCCTAAGACATACAACAAACTTACACAACTATTTGACATGACTGGGAGATATTGGCCTAAGACACACAACAAACTTACACCTAAGACACATAACAAACTTACACTACACACTGGAACTTCTGGCACAGATAAACCTGTGACAAACTTCTCCCCTTTGTCTTGGGATGGTGGGAAAAAATGCTGGACTAGACTTAAGACCCGTGGCACATCTTCCTCAAGGAGGTAAAGACACGCGTTGGGGCCAGCATCAAATGTGTAGGCAACCTGAAACAGAGACGGACACCTTAAAATATGTACACATCAACAGATTATGTACACATCAACAGATTATGTACACATCAACAGATTATGATAATTATTGGGTGCTGGATGACCATTGGCCTTGACATTTGTTAAAAAATAAAAAATCTTGTCAAAGTGCTAAAGAAATGATAAATCCAATAATTTTTTTGCAGGACTAAAAGAATAATTGTAATGAATAAGAACATCTTAATTAGTTTTATACGCTAAACTAAGTGATGAGCCAGTTTTTTTCCCAGGGAGAGATGAGAGAAAAACTAAAAAAAAACAACAAATGTTTAAAAAAAAACATTGAAGCAATGTCTTTATCTGGTGTTTTCCATGTACAATCATTGACTACTCTTTAAATTCTGAGTGGGGAAACCACAGTAGAAAATATTTTGGTGCCTCTAAATACATGTTGAATGTCTGGTATTCATTAAACAGACCCTAAAAACAAAGTTTTTCGTAGAAATCCTTAATAAAACTTAATATCAGGCAATGAAGAGTGGGCAGTGGGCAATGGGGAGTGAGTGAGGAGTTGGCAATGGCGAGTGAGGAATGGGAAATGGAGAGTGGGCAATGGAGAGTGAGGAGTGGGCAATGGAGAGTGAGGAGTGGGCAATGGGGAGTGGGGCTAAAAATTTGACATAACATGCACACAAGTGATTCACTTTACAAGAATCCCAATTAGTGCTCCCCCCACGGCTGGCAAATGTACATTTTTTCACACTAGTTCTGTCTTAACTATATTACCTTTCTAATTACCACATGTTTTTATACAGCAGATTGATTTCACCAAAAATTTGAGAAAAACAAAAGAAAATTTTAGGCACCAAACGCACAAGGATACTTTTGTTTGTTAAACATCTCATTGAGCTCAGTCAAACCCACAAGGATACTTTTGTTTGTTAAACATCTCATTGAGCTCAGTCAAACCCACAAGGATACTTTTGTTTGTTAAACATCTCACTGAGCTCAGTCAAACCCACAAGGATACTTTTTGTTTGTTAAACATCTCATTGAGCTCAGTCAAACGCACAAGGATACTTTTTGTTTGTTAAACATCTCACTGAGCTCAGTCAAACCCACAAGGATACTTTTTGTTTGTTAAACATCTCATTGAGCTCAGTCAAACGCACAAGGATACTTTTTGTTTGTTAAACATCTCACTGAGCTCAGTCAAACCCACAAGGATACTTTTTGTTTGTTAAACATCTCACTGAGCTCAGTCAAACCCACAAGGATACTTTTTGTTTGTTAAACATCTCACTGAGCTCAGTCAAACCCACAAGGATACTTTTTGTTTGTTAAACATCTCACTGAGCTCAGTCAAACCCACAAGGATACTTTTTGTTTGTTAAACATCTCACTGAGCTCAGTCAAACCCACAAGGATACTTTTTGTTTGTTAAACATCTCACTGAGCTCAGTCAAACCCACAAGGATACTTTTTGTTTGTTAAACATCTCACTGAGCTCAGTCAAACCCACAAGGATACTTTTTGTTTGTTAAACATCTCACTGAGCTCAGTCAAACCCACAAGGATACTTTTTGTTTGTTAAACATCTCACTGAGCTCAGTCAAACCCACAAGGATACTTTTTGTTTGTTAAACATCTCACTGAGCTCAGTCAAACCCACAAGGATACTTTTTGTTTGTTAAACATCTCACTGAGCTCAGTCAAACCCACAAGGATACTTTTTGTTTGTTAAACATCTCACTGAGCTCAGTCAAACCCACAAGGATACTTTTTGTTTGTTAAACATCTCACTGAGCTCAGTCAAACGCACAAGGATACTTTTTGTTTGTTAAACATCTCACTGAGCTCAGTCAAACCCACAAGGATACTTTTTGTTTGTTAAACATCTCACTGAGCTCAGTCAAACGCACAAGGATACTTTTTGTTTGTTAAACATCTCACTGAGCTCAGTCAAACCCACAAGGATACTTTTTGTTTGTTAAACATCTCACTGAGCTCAGTCAAACCCACAAGGATACTTTTTGTTTGTTAAACATCTCACTGAGCTCAGTCAAACCCACAAGGATATTTTTTGTTTGTTAAACATCTCACTGAGCTCAGTCATCTGGAATTTCATTTTATATCCCCCTTGAAAAACAGAACAAACTGATTTTCTGGGGTTGGTGCTGAAAATTTGAGAATGTTTTGCCATCAGCAATGAGTCTATGTGCAACGTTCCAGCTCCATGGGAAGTTGGTCAACTTGCCATCCGAATATTTTGCCAGCCAGCCACCCAACAAAATAAGGGAAGTTAATATGAAGGATTTAAAGAAAATAGACTGAGATTATAGCAGCTGTGAGACAGGTTTTAAAATGATACAAACACAGGAAGCTAAGAACATGAAGGAAAAAATAATAAGAGTCAAAACTAGAGCAATCAACCTCAGCTAAAATGACTATGCCACTGTGTGAAAGCATTCAACTCCTCCATCATAAGTTTATTGATATTTGCAAGTTGTTTTTTTAAAGAACCCTGCTCTATTTTTAAATGGAAAAACCCTGATCGGGGGGGGGGGTGGCATGTGTTACCTTGACCTCCTCGTAGATGTCATTGATAGCATGCACCAGTCGAATGACTTGTCTGGACACATCGGTCATGTAGAATATAGGTGGGTAGGTGTCCAGGCACACAGCATGCAGCTGGTTGCTGTCCTGAAGAAGCACACAGAGAAAACTTAAGCCTTGAAGCTTGACACATTCAGAGGGAAATACATGAGAGAGCAAAGTTAACACTGGAACACACCGTTTAAAAATCTAAGCTATTCAAATTTTGGGAGGGTTCAATCTGGAACTGTCACCTTTCCCTCATGTTAGTAAAAGATATGCTGCTGTGACGGCGCATACCAGAACTGCATTATGTGTTTGAAACGATAGATCAAATGTAAATAAATGGGAAAGCTACCCCCCCCCCCCTTGAACTATCAAAATTTTAGGGTCTAGTTTCTATTGTTTAAGAATAAAAAAAATATATAAAAAATTACTTTTTAAAAAAAAACGCTTTTCTTCCAGAAAATGGACTACAAAGTATAAAATAAATGTCTGTCATACCCCCCCCCCTCTAAACATCACAGTCGTTACAGTCATGTGACTATAAAAAAAAGAGGGGGGGGGGGGGGGGGGGGGGGGGGGCCAGTGTTCTTAGTTTCAGCTCAAATTGAGATCAGGAAGTGTGTCAAAATTGAAATGCAAGGTTTGACCACACACAAACTAATAAACGGACAGAGCAGCCACCTAGGAAAAAGTCATTTGACGTCATTATGTTTCATGGGCGCCCCATTTCTTTTTAGTCTCATGACTTAACAACTCTGAAGTTTAGGTGCTCATTTATTTTATACTTTTTTCTGTACATTTTTGGAAAAGTTGGAAATCAGGAAGAGGGTCAAAACTGAGATGCAGGTTTTGACCCAAAAAAATCGCAACCTAAATAAATACACATTACAAATTTTTAAAAAGTACATTTAAAATAATAACAAGAAGATAATATGCTGTGGACAGGATCCTCTCCAAGTATTTACATAAAGATAACAAGTATAACAAGGAAAGGGCGACCTTAAAATGCTGTATTCAAACCTGCATGGTCAGCTTCCCAAATGTGGGAAAGTCTCTCTTCTTGATAGCTTCTGTCATAGCCTCCATCCTCCTGTCCATGATGGTCACTCTGTGTTTCATCAGGTCACTGGTCTCAATGGTGGTCTGCATTCCTTCTGTGCTGCCCACATCTTTCTTTTGATCGTTGACCTGGGGATGGACAGGAACAGCAGGAAATGTTTATGATGTGTTAAGTACCATCCCCCTCCAACAATGTGATGATGAGTTAATGAAGATAAAAACCCTTTAATGGATGTATGGAGTAAATACTGAATGAAAATGTCTGCTAGTTGCTTAGAGCACATCAAGGATCCACTGCTTAAAAGGAACATCAATTATTTCTTTCAGATAACAAATTCAGCTTTCAAGATAAAAATTAAAATTCAAACCCCCGTAAAGCATGGAGAATCTGATCATTTTAACAGTGCAGCTGTACATCACAATTCTCATTGGTCTCACCACAAGGATAAGGGTTCTCATCTCAGGCCAGTGCGCCTCAGGGGCGACCTGCACAGCATATGAATCCGAGCCATCCTCAAGTTCACCCATGTTCCAGGCAACAAATCCCCCGTAGATACTCCGACATGCACTGCCAGAGCCTTGCCTGCAAGAAAGCAACTGCCCAATGAAACCGTTCTACCAACAATAACACTAAGCAGAAAAACTTAGAACTCCATTTTAAACAAATACAAAACTACAACAACAATTTATTTTACTACATAAAAGTGCTCAGCCCTTGCAGCTGACTTAGCAAAGCACAAGTCGTCTATTTCATGTAACCAAAGTTCTCCGATTACCTGCAAATTTTTAGTGTGTCGCTGGAACTGATGAGGTTTTTGTTTTTTTTACTAATCATACTAACCTGGCTATATCTGATATTTCACCTTTAACCCCATACAACTGGGACAGCGAGTACACTGGAGGGAATAAAGAAATGGTTACAGGTAAAGAACATCCTAAAACTAAACATTATATGATTGTCTGCACATTTTCAGATAAAAGAAAAGTAAGTTTTGAACAAGGAAAAAAAAATACACAAATGGGCAGGTTACAAACTTGAACCATATAAATATATTGCCCATTGCAAAGTGTGAACAATGTACACAGCCACAGATGGGTGTTTGTACTAATCACTAAATGTAGTATTGTCCATTGCATGGTGTACAGTGTACACGGCCAGATGGGTGTCTGTACTAATCACTGAATATAGTATGAATTTTTCTCTATTGTGAAACATGTCAAACAGTTTGATCTCTGATAAAGTGTATTAGCTTAGTGTGATGTGCATTGGTAGAATACTTACCTGACAATTTTGAAGAGACTAGGTAGGCTTAATGAAAGTACAAAGCAATTGAAAATAAAAATAACCCAAAAATGTCATTATATGCATGGCAAATCATATAGTTCTGTCTTTTTGATGGGTCATTTCTTGTAAAATATTACTGTCATTGCCCTATACTCTAAGAATCTTCATGAAATAAATAAATTTAAGTTTAAAAAAATATCCATACTGGGTCGATCTTTTTATAGGGAAGATCAACCATCAAAAACATACTCAAATTTCTAAATATTGGGAACAAGTTTAACTTTATATTTTCAATGATGCAACTTAACTCCACAATCCAGCAGTGTTTGTTTGTGTACTTCCTTATTTAGTGAACTCACCCAAACAAGCGTACCCAGCTGCTGATGAGGCCAGGCCAGCTGCTGTTGGAAAATTGTTCTCTGAGACAATGTGAACATTTTGTAAGAGTTCGGTTTCATTCTGGCTGTCTGACAACCTCTTCCGCGCTCGCCGACGAACTGAAATTGCATAAGAAATAAAATTACGCATGCTAAACTTTTTAAAAAAAAACATTCTCCAAATATTATCAAAAGTCGTAGAAAATGTGAATATCTTACTTTCTTTAAGAACATTTTGAATTCTGGGAGTGTTCACGGACTGCTCTCTGAAATTAAAATAAAAAGCATTAGGGAACCTGTACTTTAAAGTGTGAACACTGCTGTGACGTGAGATAATCATTTTCAATGAAATGAAATCTGACGACCAAATTCTGGGTCTAGCTCTACATCATTGCTTACTTCTCAATTTGCTACATCTGACATTAGAGAACAGAGTCCTCATTGACCATTGGTTGATTTGATTCATGAAGGTGACAAAGAGACATGTCAAAAATCCTCACAGAATTCTACATTATTTTTTTTAAATTTTATTTCATATTTTTGTATCCCACAGCACTCTGTTTTGCCCCTGGATTTCCTTTGCTTCAGTAATGTATCCCACTATGATAAACTTGTTTTCATCCGTTTCAAAAATCAAAAGTGATAATCCAGTCAATGCCCAATAGGACCTGGCCATATTGATATATTGTAGCTGATAAATAAAGTACTTCTTATGTTTTGAAACCTCCAAGTGAAGTTGCAATAACTTACTTTCCATTTAGCCACATTCGATCTTGTGTATAATCTTTGCTAACAGCAACGGAGGTTTTGGCACGCAACTACAAAAAAAAACAATAAACAGAAAATATCGAAAAGCACAATTTAACAAAATTTGAGTAAAGTATCTCCTTAGGCCATAAATTAACAGAAAACGTTTATAAAATTAAAAGTGCAATTATAATAATTGCTCAGCTAATAAATTGTAAAGTTAAATCAGTTTGAGTGATAAGCACCCAAACAAAGCAGTGGACTCAGTCTTAGGTGTTGATATTCTTGCTCTGCCATGCCTGCACCCCTCCCCCACCCAATTTTACATCTGTATCGTTTGGGCTACAAATTCATTTGAGATAAGATGAAAAGATGCATAATGACAGGTGTTGTAGTTGTTTGTCCTTGGCACGCGAAGATGACCCAGGCCATTTTCAACTTGAGGAGTAGCCTTCACTTGAGCTTGTATTTTGTTTGAAGTGAGGGAGAGTTGCTCAATTCCTCAGCCTCACTCTCTCATCCTTGCCTATTTGATCCAATGGCAAGACTTAGTCAAGATGACTGGAAATAGACCAGGATGCAGTAGATCAACAGCAGCATGTGTGTGTGTGCTTGACCGTGCTCTTTATGCATTCTAACTCGCAGGAGTTGTCAGGTGTTCATTGTGTGAATGTCATACCGCACGCCGGGTTTGATTTCAGAGTTTGTCTACTCTTAGCAGAGTTGCCATCCAAGTTTAACGACTCCTATCCACCCGGGATGCTGGTGATATTTCTGCTGGTCAAAATTTTTCTGGGGGATTGAATGGCAAAGACCACTCAGCCACCAAGCACGCCAGTTAGAGATAATAAGAGTGAGTGTTAACAGAACTTTTGGGACAATAGTTCATGGCAGTTCAACAAAACAAGGTGCATGCATTTCTGGATAAAAGAGCTTGACCCATTGAAGCACATGCCTAGAGCGCAATAGGACGGGAGTGTAACAAATTTCTTACAGCACTTTTTGTGTTGGCCAGTAAAAATTAAAATAAAAAACGATTACCTCATCTTGTCCAAGCGTAACACTCAAAGATGAATTAGTTGGGAGAATCAACTTTTCGTCTCTCTTTCCCCCTGCAAGGTTATGGATAGGTTTATAATATATAATAATTAACTGACAAATTAATTTTTTTATAAATAAAAGTTTAGACAACGAACTTGTGTTACATTTCAAAATCATTCAATCCAACAATGAGCACTTATCATTAGTAGGTCATGAAGAAATAAGGTTTTGTGGCCATACAATTACAACTTAGCTAAATAAGGAATTGATAAAATCTATTAGGATTCAAATTCAAGAAATGAAATAATTCACACATAACTTCTTAAGCCTTAGTAGGATTTATTCAATGTTTCATATTTTATCATTATACATAATTAAATTGACAATTCTACCTTGAGAGTTTACTACATTGAATTACACAAAAAGATCTGCTCATGCTACTGTTAGCCTCATCAATATTGCTTTATATATATATATATATATATATATATAGAGAGACCATCATTGAGTATAATTAAAAGCTAACAGTTAATTTAACGGGCCTACTGACTACTATTTACAACTAACAGTGTTAGTAACACTCATCATACTTATAGTCATAGTAAAGTTATATTAAGACAGATATTCATACTGAATCATTTAAAACCTCTGTATTACTGCTATAATTTATAATAAATAGTAATAGTAATATTTATGATCAGGGTTTCTTTCATGCACATCTCCGGGGGCGTGCCCCCGAGGAAAGCCAAGTGCACCCCCCCCCCGAGCAAAATGTGTACGATAATATAAAGATAATATACTTTTTCTATTTAAAAAACTGAACTGTCTTTTTTAAACAGTTTTAAAAAGATTAATATCTGGTGCCTTTAACCGATTACAATTAGTGGAATCTATGAAATATCGCTACACGAGATATGTTTAATGATCTGTATATTCGATTATAAATATGGCACAGGCCGCTTCAGATTATAAGCCGATGTCTTACTTCCCGTAGTTTGCATATATCGGTATTTTTTTCATTTATTTTTTTGTAGCTTCACAGGTTTAAAAATGTAAATAACACTGTATTTAATTAGCTTTACATGTACATCAATATAAAAGTCTACAATTTTCTTAACAGTTCTTGCTAAGTATCAAACATGGGCAATCAATTTTCAAATTATATTTCATCATAAAAGCATGACTTTTAGAGTAGGAATCGGGGTTAATTATACATTATACATTGTATGATTTCATTAATCTTTAAAAATATTTTTATTTGCATAACTATAAATTTAGTCGATTCCATGTGTGTTGAGTTATAGAAAATGGAAACTTAAGAATTTAATGGGCACATAAAAAAGTGCACATTTCATTAACTATTATATCGAAAGCGTTTGTCTTTTCTTTTAATGTGCTACTTTTGTAATTATGTTTCCTGAATAACAGAGGTTAAAAAAAATATGCAGTGTATATTTATTATGACCCACCTTTTTGTACGGATGTTAAAAAAAAATAATATTTTTTTCTAGATAGGAAGCTATCAAAAAAAAAAAAAAAAAAAAATTTTTGCAAATGATCTTCCCTGTCGCAAATAATCTTCCCTGTCGAAATGATCCTCCCTGTCGCAAATGTACTTTCCTGTCGCAAATGATCTTCCAAAAAAAAAAAGATTTTTGTGAACTAGCATTTTGATGATGTCAATTAGTTGTTTTTTTTTAATTGTTTGAACTTGTTTTAGAAAATATTCTTACTCCTAATTTGTTTAATGTAAAATACATTATGTGTAAATGGTTTTTAAAAAAAAGTGTTTTACAGTTTATCCAAGAGGTAATTTGTAATTTATCTGAAAAAAGTTATAGTATTTTGAAATTACAAATAAACATTTCAATCAACTGAATATTGGGAAAATATATACTTAACTTTAATATGATTTCCCTTAGATAAAATCACACATTAATAAATATGTAATGTCTTTTGTAAACAACTCATGTCTTTTTAAAATAGTTATGCCGTTCATATACAATTTACAAAAATGACTAGTTTTCAAAACCCATAAAAATGTATAGACCTTTCTTATTAAAAGTTTTTTTTTTATTTTTGACTCTGGTAAAATTTGGAAATATTTTGAAATGGTAGTTTAATAATTATAGGTAGTTTAATAATTATAAGTACAGTAAGTTGTTTTTTTTTTTTTCCATTTGCATTCAGCACATAAAATAATGTTTGCACTGCTTTTTGGTGATGGAACCCTTTTTAATTCTTTTTTGTTGAAAATTCATTTATTAATTAAGTTGCTATAACCCCCCACCCCCAATAATAATGTAAATAAAAATAAAAGCCATGTCACTATTATTAGTAATTTATAATTTTTTTTGTGTGCTTAACACAAGCAGGTCAAACACATATCTGTTTTGCCCAACCCCCCTCCCTTTCCACACTGCATTGAAAGATGACTATTAAGAAAATAACCTCATCACATCTTTAAACCCCTAAAAAATATGAGGCACCTTACAGTTGTAGGGGTTGCTGGGTGCACACCATGGTTCTAAGGTTAATTGACACCTACATTTTTATCAAGGATCTCTTCAGTTGCTCTCCAATTAAGTGCAGAATTTTGCAAAACTATGTTTAGTTATGTGATCACATGCATTCTTATATTTCTAATTATCAAAAAATTCTGGGGACTGTAAAGATTAAAGGAGTAAGAATAATCTAGGACACAACTGGAATGAATATAGTTTATGTTTCTCTGGATCGGAATTTTAAGATGTCTTTGATCATTATTATGACTAATTTTGGTACTTTCCACCAGAAAGTTTGAAATGCAACCTAAAAATTGCCTGAAAGAAACAACAAATTTCAAGTATGCGACCCTGCATTTTGAGTTTGCCCTACTGTCTTTAGCACACTAACTTTAAGCACCCCCTTCACTCATGCTGATCAATAGGATTTATTATAAGCTTGTGCCAAATGCTTACTCTGGGAGTGAATTCAGTTCATGTATGGCACTAGGCGCCACAAAGCCTCCCACAAAACTTTAAAAAATGTCTTCCTGTTCAAAAGGTATAATAGAAAAATTGAATTCAAGTATACTCAAAAAAACACCCCCTTGATTTTGAAATAATCACAAATTTTCTCCCAGACCCCTCCACCGATCAAGATTCATTGGCGCCCTCTATTTCCACCCTACTTTCAAATGAAAATGATAGCCAATTTTGGTATAGATAGATGCACTGCCTATTGGCAGCCACTATTCGTGCAAAATATTTTTGCCATCCTCCCTTTCATGGAAAAAAACTATGCAGATGTACAAAAATGCCACACCTGCATACAGAGCCGTTCTTAGGCATAGGCAAACTAGGCGAAAGTTTAGGGCCCCACTGAGAAGGGGGCCCCGCCAGGCGCTTTTTTTTTTTAGCCTACAACTTGCAAGTCAATATATTTCAGAAGTACATATTGTCTCTAGTGCCGGAATTATCTATATGGTTAGTGGTTACACGCGAGCAAAGAGGAAACAGTGACAAAGACAGAGTGGAGGTGCCGTAGTGGTGGGTGGTGTTTTATCCTGAGCTAGGAGGGAGCTCCGCCCCCCGACCCCTTTCTGGGATCCCCTACCTATGCTCCATGCCTAGAGCCCCCAAAATCCTAAGAACGGCTCTTCTGCATATAAAGAAAAAAATGACACCTCGGTGGACCACCTCCTCTACCCTATTTCAACGACACTAGAAGGGGCGTCAGGGGTCAAGATTTATTTTTAGCCACCCCCCCCCTTTTATCCTTCTCAATTCTGAAGCTGATTATTTTCAACTTCAACCATTACCATTAAAATACCATCAAAGCCCATTCCTCCCCCACCCACTTAAAAAATGACACCTCGGTGGACCACCTCCTCTACCCTATTTCAACGACACTAGAAGGGGCGTCAGGGGTCAATATTTATTTTTAGCCACCCCCCCCCCTTTTATCCTTCTCAATTCTGAAGCTGATTATTTTCAACTTCAACCATTACCATTAAAATACCATCAAAGCCCATTCCTCCCCCACCCACTAGTCTGCCCCCTCCCCCCCGGACATGGGCCCCATCTGCCACCCTTAAGCTGTTCCTGTGTCCACTGGCAAATGGCATAGCCCCACCCCCCACTGGGGGAAAAATGTCTGAAAGAAACACTGTTTGATTGAAGTGTTTGGTAATGATTCATGGACATTTCATGATTCAGCCCAAGCTGCTTAGCCTTTGGCTTTAACATAGCTTAAATAAACTAAGTTAGACACTACTACTTGTTTAAATTTTAAAAAGGTATAAGCCCTAGTCGGGCTAGTCCTACTACGTAGGTCACTTACTAAGAGTAGAGTACAAACCTGATAATAATAGGAAGCCGGTTAAGCCTAAAAACTAGTAATGCACAATTTTTATTATGTTGTTTCATTTTAACTTCTAAAATTGGTATTTCAATTTTAATTCACTGCAAAATTTATTATTATTCACACTTCCAATAAAAAAAATGTTCTTTTGAAAAAAACGTTTCATTCAACGCAAAAGTTATTGTACATTCTACATTATTTCACATTTCCATTAAAATACTTCACTCTTCCAATTAAACAAATGTTCTTTTGCATTAATTAAATTAAAACATATTTACTTCTTTTAAAAGTTCTCTGCTACTGTGGTGGCCAAATTTGAACAAAATCGTCTAGAATGGCGTTGAATACATTCAAACCATTTGCATTAACACGTCGACGCAAAATGAAACCACACCTATAATTATACGAATCTAGCATATGTATGTGTGTGTCATTGTTTCTCTCTTTTGTCAATTTCCACGTATGTTCGATGCGTTGAGTATAGTATTGGCATTCCATTAACTTTGTGGTTGTTAGCACATCCTCTGACAGCATGTTTAATACCGTGTTGATGTAGAAACAAGCTACAACTGACTTCATTGTGAACTAATGCAGAAATTATCAAAGAATTCATGGTGTCTACAGAAGTAGTTGTATTTATTAAACCAGATATAGTAATAACTACATAGAATGATAGACATAATAGTCTTGATAGTCATAGCACAGTCATAGCAGCAATGATAATTTTTGCGGTGAATTAAAATTGAAGGACCCTAAAATTTACTTACAATATTTTATAACAGCTATATTTACAGGTGCTGTGCATGTTACACATCGGAAAGTATTCTCTGCACTCATTGTTGTATGTCTTTGAATGTAAATAATGGAATTACACTATGCGTTTATGTCCTATGGTTTAAATAGTGTGTTGTCACCTCACAACATCACGCCACAATAAAATCAAATTAGAAGCCATGATTTATATACGTGTTTACCAAAAACGTTTCGCCAAATTACTTAAATTATCTCTGATGTATGCAAATAATAGTAATACTTTTTCGTTAAAAAAAAAAAAGCAAATTGCAGTCTACCATATTTTATTTTAAAAAAACTTTAAGAAAATTACTTATATTTTATTTGTGCATACCATTTAAAATTTAAATGGACACTATACTCATGGAGCTCGACGCAATAATAATATGTCACAGTGGCAGACACAGTCGGACTATTAATAGTATGCCAAGTATGCACAATCTAAAATAGATTTTAAGAATTCAATGATAGAATCTCTATTTAATTATTTAATCTTTACTATTTGTTAATTTAAAGGAAAGTTGTATTTAATAAACGTTTGTAATAAACATTTAATAAAAAATGAAAGGGCGTTTTATTTTTATATTAGGAAGGACAACTTCGTGTACTTCGTTCTTTTTAATGCAAAAAAAGTTGTCTCTCTTCCTTTGTAAGATGGTTGAGAAATCTGACACCACGTTGGGGGTGGGGGGTGGGGGTTAGTTAACCCTATCACCAATATACACGGCGATTTTAAAATGAAATGTGTTGATGCCAATAAATGAAGAGAATAAAATAAAACATAAAGCTAATTCATAAATCACAATTAAATAAGTTGTAATACGGGTATCGCTTTAAAAAGGTGAGTCCTGTTCAACAGCCTCGAACCCACTCTCGCAGTAAAGAAGGGGAAAACATACCCACTAAGTCTTCGGTGACGTTTGCGTCACAAGACGACATTGACTTGGTTTATGAGTATTCGAGATAGGGAAAAAAACACGCATTCAGCATATACAATGTAAAACGAATAAGGAAGTCTGCCGGATGATGCAACTTAGTTTAGTAAGATCTCTGCCAGTATGCTAATAAGTCCTATTTTTACACACACACCAACATAGAGAAATTTTAAATATTGTCTGTTTGCCACAATATTATTAATATATATATATATATATGTGTGTGTGTTTGTGTGTGTGTGTGTGTGTGTGCGTACGTGTGTGTGTGTGTGTGTGTGTGTGTGTGTGTGAGTGTGTGTGTGTGTGTGTGTGTGTGTGTGTGTGTGTGTGGGTGTGTGTGTGTGTGTGTGTGTGTGTGTGTGTGTGTGTGTGTGTGTGTGTGTGTGTGTGTGTGTGTGTGTGTGTGTGTGTGTTCATCTCAGTGTTTGATGAACACTTTTCTCAATAATTAAACTTGCTTGAATTCCTGAAAGTAAATGTTGGGCGGTGAAAGTTGCCATTTGATCACTTTCGGCGTAGTTTCAGTTAACTTTCGGTCTGTTTTCGCTTTCGGCCAAGAGTGATTCAAGCTTTAGACTGTCTGGCCGAAAGTGATTTAGTGTCGTCTACTAGAAGTCAGACTGTCACTCTGTCTGCCCGTCGGCGGGAATTTAGTGTCGTCTACTAGAAGTCAGACTGTCACTCTGTCTGCCCGTCGGCGGGAATTGTGATATTCATATTAGCACGTCTCTTTCTGTCATCGTATGACATATGACTAATCTTCTGAGAACACGGTTCACAGCTGCATAATTAGATACTTGTCCAATATTTTCAAACATAAATTTTCAATAAGGCAAAGGTAAATAGTTTTGTGGACAAAAAAACAACAAAAAAAACTGGCAGTTTTTAAATTATTATTTTTGTTTTAAATTTCTTTGAAATAAAGTTTGGGAACCCTAGATTTATTCAATTAATTCATTAAGTCATTCATTTTGATGGATCATTATCATGGTCATATATGTCGTCATAGGCTATGTGAATATTATGGTGGAAAAAATCCTTGGGAATGGTAACATTTCCATTATTATTTTTGCTTCAATCTATATTGCAATAAACCTTAGGTTTATTCCATTTATTCATTGATGCAAATTCATCATTGCCAAGCTGATAAACATTGTCATTGACGCACAAAAAAATAGTCCACATTCACCTCCTTGAACTTAGCCTTGACTTCAGAATTGCACTGAAGATCAATCAGCTCCATTTGAAGCGCAAAGAAAGGGTGGGTGGGGGGAGGGAATTTTTTACATTAAAGGAGAAAGTGTCAGCAAAAATTTGAACCTGTGGCTCTGTGTGTTATGAAGTCTGCAAACATGGGATCAAATTCTTCCTGTAGCTTTGCAATGGCATCAGTATACTTATACTGAAGGGTGTGCCCGAGTCCATGAGTACTTAGCATGTTGGGAAATGGCAGAGGTTTCTCTGAGAACCATAACACAAGTTTTGTGCAGAATGCCCGGACATTTTAATAGCCAACACTGACAAGCTACCCCTGGTCTTGTAACCTCCTTGTTGAGAACATTTAGATCCTGAGTAATATCAACAATAAAAGCCAAGTCCATGAGCCATTTGGGATCGCATAGTATAGGAACAACTACCCCATCCTTCTCCATGAAGGCTTCTAAGACTACAACGTGTTAAAAAAATAGGAATGAGCCGTCGATATTTATGAATTATTGATGCAAGGGAAGCATCAACAGTTTTTATCATTATAATCAACGTCCAAACCTCTACAAACATAATAAAAATCAGAATTTGTTTATAGTCGGTGAGATTCGACTGAAACTGCCGCGGAGGGTCACAGTACATATGAGAATGGTATAAACGCACGGGCCGCGTTAACACTAAACTTTGCTGTCGGGTAGCGGGCCGCAAAATATCGTCTTGCGGGCCGCAAATGGCCCGCGTGCCACGAGTTTGAGACCCCTGGTCTACACACACTTGAGCACACGTTACGTTAGTTTCGTATAAAAATTGTGTAGTAGGCCTACTGTAATATCACACTAAACGGAGCTCAATGTTCTTTCAACTTGTGCTTATTCTGGGTCAAATCTAAAATTAGCCGATAAATGATAATTGCGGATAAACAAAAAATTTAAATGTCGACCAATCAGAAAGGATGTTTCAATGAGAATGTATTGTTCGATTTAACAAAGAGTTCCTTCAAGGCTTATTTCAGGACATTTTAGTGGGCCATACCAATTAAGCATTCCATAGTCTAAGCTTTCGATCGACACCAAATATTTCTAAGTAGCTTTGTAATTATATTGAGCAAAGGTGGCCCAACGGTCTCTTTAGCATGAATTTCGCCACCCTCCCCCCCCCCCTCCAAGACAAAATTTACTCCTACCATACTATTTACATTCATTTTAACAATTTAAATTTAATGTTTAATTCAATGGTAACATTCAACGTATTCATTATATCTTTATGTATTAACATTCACGATAATCTCATTTTTTTATAAAAAGAATATAAATGTCGATACTCCCCCCCCCCCCCCCAAAAAAAA